AACACACAGATCGACAGTTGCAAAGAATATACAGAATGAAATGAGAGAAGGGGCTAATCGGTTTGATTGAATTGTACTATATGGCACAGTAATAGCACGGTAATAGTGAAGTAACCAGTGATGGAACGTAACAAAGTTAAAGTAGTAAAGTACTGTACTTTTTAAAGTTGATACTTTTACTTCACTACATTTGAGAGCAGGTATCAGAGTCCTGCACAGGTCCATTTTTAGAGACCCACACCCGCCCACACCCACGCAGTACAGCACCACACCTGCCCGTTAACCCACAATTTTATAAAAGTTAAACCCGCACCCTCCCGGACCCGTTAACATTCTACCCGTTACCCGCCTGTGCCCTTGATAAATCACACACAAATTAAAAGCATTCTAACTGAAGCATCCATCGGAGTACGAACTGAAAAGTTACGACTTCAAGAATTACAATCACAAAATGAAACGGTTACGCTTTCGTCAGTACGACCACGAATTCACAGATGCAACTCGACTGCCATCACTTCACAGGCATTATTTACTGAGCAGAAGAAACACTGATTGAGATGCCGCACTTTTGCGCTGCACACGCCACGGACTGAACCAAGACTGAACCAGGAATAACCCAGAACTAACCCAGGACTCATTCCAGGAATGAACCAGGAGGACTGAACCAGGACTGAACCAGGACTCACTGTCGGGACGGGCTTGGAGGTGCACCTGCGTAGACCGTCGGATGACTGCGGGCGAAAGGACCGACGCAGACCTCCGCGCCACATAAAGTTAAGCGCAGTCATCGCCCGATCGCGCTTTGCTGACACCCTGCTCTGCGGACTCTGGGTTCTCCCTCTCTGTCAAGTCCAAGATTAGTCCTAGTGTAGTCCTGGTTTAGTCCTGACCCGCCCGTGTGTAATCGCTGCCTGCCCGCATACCCGCCCGTAAAATTCAAGAACATTAAAACTCGCCCGTTTCAGCAACTATTTGTCCACGGGTACGTGACCAGGTGCAGGATTCTGATCTGTGTTTCTACTCCACTATTGGAAATAATTAGTTTGATCAGATTTAGAATTTTAAATACAGCTGAATTTCTCACTTAGACTTTTTTATCTGCTTTTTTAAATCCTGAATTTTAGTTGCTGAAATTTTAAGTAAACTTCACCTTTTAAATATTCAGCACAAATATTTTCAAGCTCTCAAATTCAACAGTCAAAAATCAGAGTGTAAAATTTGCCAGGAAAAATGTCAGAATCAGTCGATCGTGTGTGAGTGAGGAGGTTGTTTCATAAGGCTAAATTTGACCAGACTCACATCATTTCCTGCTCGTTACTAAATGAAATCTAATCATTTAGGATCGATTGCTTCTGTCTTGGCATCTTGAATCTTTCCTTCAAATTTTTTCCACTGCATATTTTACCCTCTGAATTTTGGCTTGAAAATGTTCAAATTTCACCAACTAAAATTCAGAATAAAAATAATTCAACCTGTCTTTTCAGAGGTAAAAAATTCAAAGTGAGAAATTCAGCAGCATTTAAAATTCAGAATCTGATGAAACAAATGATCTTCCACACTCCACTACATTTCTGAACAGGACTGAAAAGCCAGAGTACTTTTTAGGATTGTCTTGAGACCTGCTGAAAAGGCTTGGGGTTTATTTTTTAACACATTTGTTATCTTAGCAAACTAAATTATACAAACAAAGACTGAGAAAAACAATTGATTAAATTGTGTCTATTGAACGAAATTCAAAAGCTCTACATTTGATCTCAATATATGTGTCAAGTACTTTTACTTTTTACTCTTTAAGTACATTTGTAATAATTTTACTAAGATTTTGTAATGTGATACTTTTTTGATACTGTACTTTGACTTAGATAAGAAACTTGAGTACTTCATCCATCACTGGTAGTAAGTGGGATAACAAGATATACTGTATATGTATTTGAAATATAAGTACACTTTTAGTTACAAAGCTAAATCCATCTTATTACCGTGTTAATACTATGCCAAATGGTACTACAGTTGCTTTTATTTTTTTGTTTAAAGCTGGTGTACCTGATTTTCACACCACAGAAGGAGGTATTTAATAGGTGTTTAAAGACTAAACACCTAAACGCCGCTCACAAACACAAACAGAGCTGTTAATACGGGCAGTACCTGGAGGCGTACAGAAAAGAGTGATGGGGTAAGAGACATGTGAGGAACACTGCGATTGGTCTAAAAGTATCCACAAATTCACAAACTTCAAACTCTGCCCCTGGCTATAATCAGGCCAGTCATGCGTGATGTAACATAGTACTTGAAATCACAGCGGCCTCTGAAGTTGTTGATCGCAAAGCTGCAAATTTACCTAGTTTACATTAAAATGGCTGTAAACATTAACAATAAAACATCATATACACAGTGTAGTAGCAAATAAATCTGAACAAATATCGCTTAACTCGCCCAACCGCAGCCAATCAGAGTGCTGCTTTTGGCGCTTACTTCGAGGTTGGTGAGAAATAAATGTACTTTAATATTCGCGTTTTTAATATATACTCTTTGGGGGGAAAAAACTACTTTTGCACATTTACAAAGAACAAAAAATGTCTGGTACGCCAGCTTTAAAGTCAGAAAGTTGAGTACAATAGTTGCTTAAGTAGGGCGCACACTTTCAAGTAACGCACTGACTGCCATACGATCATTTTGGCGTGTTTTCTCCGGGGAGTGAGACGCTTCAAGTGCACCGTGCCATTTGGGAGGAAAGTGAAATATTCTCAGTGTATTGAGTGCATCCAAGTGATAAGACACAAGACAAGGTAAAAGAAACCACCATGCAACAGTAAAAATAACAACATGAGAGTTTGCATTCATCATACAGTAACTCATGTCCTCGAACGCACCGTCACAGCCCTTTTTATCGCTCAGCACTTTATCTGCTGCAGGGGAGGCATTCAGATGGCGACCCACTAAAACCAGGTCCTCTTCCATCTGGTGTGAACATTTGGTCGGATGTTATATTTTCACAAAATTTACACGTACAGGACACTGCCAGTTAGAAATATTCATAGGATGCGTTCACATTGGATTGATGTCACATGAGGGTAAAGGCCAATGTGTCTTTAAGGCAGAGACACGGATTTTGAGCGAAATATCCAAACAGAAAATCCACAAACCAGATATTATTTTCTTTACATATTAATTTTGTTGCTTAAAGGGCCTATATTACGCAAAATGGACACAAATGGAGCTTTTAGTCCTGTTAGAATGTTGTTAAATTCTCAAAAACATATCTGGAGTTGTGTTTTCTTTCATTCACACATGTTTGAGTAATGCATTGTTATTAGTCTGTCTGCATCTCCAAAATTCAAAATATACTGTTGCACCTTGTGATGTCATGAACTAGTAGTTTTCAGGTTAATCCTACAATACCTGGGAATATGATTTATATAACCGTGCATAACTTTCCAACCATAAAAGATAGAAACTTGCTTTTTTTTCCCTTAAAAAGCTGAGAGTTGCATCTTTCGAACATATTTATACTGGAAAACAAGTGCCCAATAGGAGCTTTGTTTTCTGCCAAACACATGCACTCCATCCATTTTCACTGGCCCAAACATTGCCAAAGAGTGTAATGAGTCAAGATGACCGACTGCTCTGAGCGTCTGTGATCTTAACAGCTGTAAATGTTGGTCTAAGTGCAGTTTTTTTCTCAAATAAATGTTAAATCACGCATCATGGTCTGCATAATTGCGCATCCCTTGCTATTTTTATTTGAAAGGTTTATTTCACTCAAAATGTACAAATCCAGATGTAATATACACCATGGAAATGCAGGAAGTGATGTGGCTTTAGTTTAGTTTACTTACAGACTTGATATTTTGCACTTTTGTAGCTAAGGCCCTAAATTAAGTCCAAAAAGTTATTTATACATGTTTGTCGGGTGTTTTGTATGATTTTTTATTAAATTTTTTTTTTTCCATTTGTATTTCTGGTCCTGTAGCTTTTATTACAGCCATATAACACAACTACAGCAGGCAGACTGTGAAATAACAGGTTGTATTGACAAAAAGGATGTGTGACACTTCATTAGGGGTTAAAAGGGGAGTTTTAATAGCAAAATTAAGAAAAAAATCCAGGTGAAGACAAATGTACTAAAATTTCCTTTAGGTCTGGAAGGGTTAAGAGCAACCTTTTACCTTTTATTTAGCAAAGATTGGAAATTCCAGGACTAAAATCATCCAAATGATTCTAGTGAAGGTGTATGGAGATTATAAACACTGTGGAGCACTTCCTGTATTACCACATGACATCACAAGGTGGAACAGTGTTTTCTGTTTGAGAAAATAACTAAACATGCAGGGTGTGTGTGTGCGTTAAACATGTATGAATAAAACAAAACTCCAGATATGTTTTTGATGAGAAAACAATATTATAACATAGATCAGAAAAAGCGTAATATGGAGCCTTTAAAGTCCTTTCAACTTTTTGCCTTAATAGTAAAAAATAGTAAGAGTTTCTCCTTAGTTAATTTGTGCTGACTGTGGATGTGTCCCAGTTTTAGTTTCCAGTAAAGAGGCCCAGTAATTACAGAGAAGAAGCAAAATGGAAATCGAAAAACTATTCTCCACAGAGATAGAAGCCATATGCTGGAACAGTTTATCCAAAGCTATACAATTTTCTTTGCAACAAGCTGGTTTGTGCTTTGTGTTTATATTTCTGGGGATAAAAAGTTACTATTTAATTAATTATTACCACAACTTTGTCCATCTGTTTTAAACTACAGACAACTTAGACATGAAAGCAACCTCCACATAAACCATTCTGTCGTCACATTTTTAGTGTAATCAAAATACATGATTGTGTCTTATCTATAGTGGGCCATCTGAAAATCTTTTGAAATCTTTCTTTAGTTTATAAATATACTCATAAGTTATTCATATGCATGTGTCAGTCCAGTCCTCCATGAGTCACAGCTCTTGACAGCTTGCCCTCCCGCTGCTGTCTCTCTCTGTCTGTACAGGATCTGTCCATCACTGGGAGCTGCTGCTATGTTTACTACAAGGCTCACCCGGGTCCTTGGTGGCCCCTCCGTGCACTTGTATTTGGCTCTCAGTCCACACGGCCACCCCGCCCTGGGTTATCTTGCTGCACCGTGACAGGCTCGCCACTTGGTTAGCGGACAAGACCCGGTCCCACATGCCCACCTGGGACATCTCTCCGACCAGCGCCTGGGTGGAGTCGAAGCCCCCTCCAACGGTGTCCTGAAGGAGAAGTAAGAAAATGTTTTTAAAGGGCACATATCACGCTATTTTATGATGTATGTAGAGATGTAACAATAACCAAAATATCATGATATTGTCAAAGTTCACACAATAATATCGTGGACCATCAAAATATATCAAATTACAAGTTTCTTTGCTTAAATTAAGAGGTGCAAGGCATTTAAAAAGGAAAAATGTACAATTCTACAACTCTTATATACTCTATAAAAACTTATATATAAATATAGTATGATTTTGAAAGTGCAATTTATCTTAAAAGTCATAAATTGCAAAAATCTAAGCTATATTTGGTACTTTGGTTTAAAGACTTGAAATGACTTGAAGCTCAAAGCAGATGACTTGGACTTGACTTGGACTTGACTTGGACTTCTGGGCTAGTGACTTGAGACTCGACTTGAACTTGACTGTATTTGATTTGGGATTTGATTCATACTTGAGGTCAAAGACTTGAGACTTGCAAAACAAAGACTTGGTCCCACCTCTGATTCCAAGCATCCTAATTATTCACGGTGATGAGTTTATAAGAGGTAAAGCTGACAACAACTAGCATGCTAACACTCACATCCTGATTATCGGACAATAAACTAGTTTGTAATTGAATGCAAACAGGACACAGCAGACTTATTTTGACCTCAAGAGCTGCTTATGTAATATATCTGTAATGGGGTGAGACAAACTTTGCTCAAATATATGAAAAAAATTGACTGAAATGGTTAAAGCACCTGATTACTAACTGGCTATTCAGGTGTCATAACCACATAACAAAATGCCTGCTTTTATCTTTAAGCACAGGATTAGATAAGATTAGACATTAACTGCTGTTGAATGAAAGCGTGGCCTTCGTTTTTAAGGCTGAGCTCTTTCGTCTATACTACAGTTTATTTAGAAAAGAAAGCGTCTCATTATATTCTACACACACTTCACATCACAGTTCATAGTTCAGTGTGCAAAGCTGAACTCAATACAGTTGTGAGTTGAGTCTGTGACACTGGTGGATGTGTGTGGCCCTGTCTCACTGAGGTACGTCTGGAGAGTTTGTGGTTCAGTCAATACGATACTGGCCTATACACTCCATTCTCTCTTTGAGCTCTTCTCAAGGTAAATGTAATATGTGTATGTTTTTCACAGATGTATTCTTCTTGTATAATCAAAACTTTAGTCATCAAAACTCTGACACAAAAGTTTAAAGTGAACACTGAACATCTGCCAAGGTCCTGTAGCTTTTTCATTCCCTTCTCAAAATCAAATCTAACAAAAATCCAATAGTGCTCAGTGTGAAGGGCACATAGTATGAGGCCTGAGTTCTTTTGTCCTTTTGTTTTATGTATGTGTGTCAGAGTCCTGCACCTGGTCTGGTACCCACAGGCAAATAGTTGCTGAAAGGGGCGGGTTTTAACGTGCTGGGATTTTACGGACAGGTATGCGGGCGGGTAGGGATTACACACGGGTGGGTCAGGATTAATCAGGACTAAACCAGGACTACACCAGGACTAAACTTGGACTTAAGAAAGAGGGAGAACCCTGAGTCCGTGGAACAGGGTGTCCACAAAGCGCAATCGGGCGACAGATGTGGTTACCTCCATGGGGCGCGGTGCCAGTCCTTTTGCCCACGGTCAGCTAATGGTCTACACAGGCACACCTCCGAGCCAATCCCGACAGCAAGTCCTGGTTCAGTTGTAGTTTAGTCCAGTTTTAGTCCTGTTTTAGTCCTCCTGGTTCACTCCTGGAATCAGTCCTGAGTTAGTTCTTGTTTAGTTTTTGTTTAGTCCTGGTTTAGTCCTCTTTTAGTCCTCCTGGTTCAGTCCTGGAATCAGACCTGGCTTAGTCCTGGTTTAGTCCTGGTTTAGTCCTCCTGTTTCAGTCCTGGGTTAGTCCTGGTTTAGTCCTGGTTCAGTCCGTGGCGTGTGCAGCGCAAAAGAACTCAATCAGTGTTTGTCTGCTCAGTAAATAAAGCCTGTGAAGTGATGACAGTCGAGTCTTGAATGAGACGTGAATTCATATTCGTACTGAAGAAAGCAAAACTGTTTCATTTCATTTCGTGATTGTAATTCTTGAAGTCATAACTTTTCAATTCATATTCTGATGGATGCTTCAGTTACAAAGCTTTTAATTTGTGTGTGATTTATCATGGGCAGGTAATAGGTGGAATGTTAATGGGTGCGGGTTTAACTTTGATAAAATCACGGGCGGGTGCGGTGCTGTACTGTGCGGGTGCGGACAGGTGTGGGTCTCCAAAAATGAACCCGTGCAGGACCCTGATGTGTGTGTGTGTGTGTGTCAGTGGCAGTACGTACCTGCTCTTGTCCCAGGACCAGCACTCCTCCAGGGCGGATGTGGTGTCCCGCGGCCAGAGAGTGACCCTCACCTCTCAGCCTGCCCCCCTGGTAGGCCTGCCAGGTGCCCCCCCTCTGACTCCAGCTCACACAGATGTGCTGCCAACTGCCCCTGGTGATGTTTAAGGGCAGCTGCACCACCTAGACACAACACAGGACACTTCAATATCACATTCATCAATTACAATAAACAGTTCACTTGGCTCATAACTGAAAATCATGATTATTTGTTCAAAGCAGAAACTATTTGTAATGTTTTGTGAATCGTTTTCAAACATTACTGGGAATTAGAGAAGATGGTGGGACAGAAGGACAGCCTAAGATAGACATGTCCAAACTGATTTTATTTATTTATTTTTTTCAATTACACAGTGTTTTTGTATTTTGTAATCTTTGTAATTGCATAGTCTGACATTAAAAATACATTTATTAGAGAGTAATCACAGGATTTTTCAGGACACCAGAGATAACAGCAAAAATGAATCCTATAAATCCTGATACATGTTGGCGAAACTGTGCTCCTTACCTAGGAACTCATACTCACATATTCCGGACTTGTCCAAAGATAAGTCTATTCTGGAGTGATGTTTTTACAGCTCTCAATACACTATTTCAGTGATCATTTGTTAAAGAACCACAGCTGGCAATTTTAGGGTTAATTCCAGATGGTTTTGGAGGAAATGATAAAAAAAAAAAAACCTCTTAAGAATTTTACTGACTGCTGCACTTGATTGTATTACTGTTAAATGGTTGAACTCTGATCCACCCACTTATTATATTTGGATTGAAAAGGTGAGAAAGATTTGTGAGATGGAGCAGATCACTTATTCTTTGAGACTTCACAGAGAGCTCTTCATTATGAAATGGAGTCCCATGTTTGGTCTATTATTCCAGCAAGCTTAGCATTTTTATTTTTTATTATTTATTTAATTATTTTGTTTTGTATCTAGTATTTTAATTGTATATGCATAATTGTTTCTGTTATTAATATTGTTTTCATCTATACTGTTTGGTCTCTAAATGTACTCTTGATGTACAAGCTGGGGTATCTTAAACTTAAAAACAAATTTAAAAAATAATAAAAAATACATTTATTAACTGCACTAAATCACATGCTTCAAAATAGAAAAGTAACAACAAAAATATCTGATTGCAATGAACATAGAGATTGCAGTGTGATTTGTGGTAAAGTTTAAAATGTGGATTGTGACTACTACTACTACTACTACTACTACTACTACTACTTCTACAGTAGCTACTCCTCCCATTACTGCAACTCTTACTACTCCTAATACTCCTGCTCTGATTACTACTATTACTCCTACTACTCTTACTCTGACTACTACTACTACTACTACTACTACTACTGCTACTACTACTACTACTCCTACTACTACTCCTACTCCTACTACTCCTACTACTACTACTGCTACTACTACTACTACTACTACCCATAGTCCTACTACTACTCATACTACTTCTACTACCACTACTACTCCTACTACTACTTTTACTCCCACTACTGCTCCTACTACTCCCACTACTACTCCTACTACTATTCATACTCATACACCTACTACTACTCCTACTACTTAGACTACTTAGAAGTTAAAAAAAATAATACATTTATTAACTGCACTAATTGACATGCTTCCAAATGGAAAAGTAACAACAAAAATATCTGATTGCAGTGAGCATAGAGATTGTGATGTGATTTGTGGTAAGGTTTAAAATGTGGATTCAGTTCAGGATGCAGGTGTAGTTAACATCTGGGAAAGAAACCTGAACTGAACAAGATTAAAAAGATGTTTGTAATGGTCCATACTCCAGGGTGAGCAGGTTTTATCATTCATAATAAAGTGGCGATGATGTTGAATGTTAAGGACCTGATGCCACTTGCAGCCTTTGTGATTTGTGACCGTTCATTTCCATGTGATTGTGATGAATCTTGCAGCTCTATCTCATATCCAATCTTTTTCACCAAGGACACCACTTTCCTCGGTGGAATCTATTATCATAATGTCTTACTTGAATGATACCATCCACCACTGCAGTGCAGATGCCAGGGCCCATTTAGCCTGTCCACTAAACTGACTATTCCACCTGATGTGTTCTACTTCTTGGTATGCTAATTCAACATCCCACAGTAACAGACCAATCAAGAGCACAAATTCTTGGACACAGAGGAGAGCTGATTAAAAGTCTGTGCAAATTCCACGAGCATCAGCAACAATCTGCTTGGATTATTGCTCCGAATCCACGGGGAATATGTGCGTGTTGTTTTATCCAGGATCTATATCACATTAGAAGTGTAAAGCCTCGCAGGGACCCTCTCACATGTTCTATCCCCACTATTAATAAAACATTATCTCAATTCAATACATGAAACAGGCAGAATGCAGAGGGGCTGCTGCTAGTACTCACTTACATTTGCTGGAGTGCCTTTTTGGAGATATTGTTCTTTTTTTGGAGTAGTTTTTGGAAAAGAAATGGTTCATGGTACTTATTCTGAAGAAACATTACTCTTACATCAATAAAACATTTTGTATTTTTTTTGTTTGTTTGTTTTATTGAAGAAGGCTCTTCAGATGTCATTTTAAACAGACATGTGGAGAGGGTTTACCGTGCAAACAAAGTCCCGGCCAAACAGTTACACAGTCAGTAGCAAGTAGAATCTTTACTTCTACTTCTATTTGCAGAATTGTACTCATTTTTACCTTCTCTTCAGATCAACAGTAACTACTAGTACCATTACTACTACTACTACTACTACTACTACTACTACTACTACTACTACTACTACTTCTACTACTACTTCTACTACAATAACTACTACTACTACTACTATTACTACTACTACTACTACTACTTACTACTACTACTACTACTACTGTCTACAATACTACTACTACTACTACTTACTACCTACTACTACTACTACCCTGTTACTACTACTGTGACTCTTACTACTACTACTTCTACTACTCCTTCTCCTTTTACTACTACTAATCCCACTACTGCTACTGCTCCTACTACTAGTCCCACTACTACTACTACTACTACTCCTGCTACTACAACTATTACTACTCCTACTACTGTTACTGCTCCTGCTACTCCTACGACTACTACTACTACTCCCACTATTGCTACTGCTTCTTACTACTTCCACTACTATTACTACTCCTACTACTGCCACTACTACTCCTACTACTACTACTCTCCTACTACTGTTACTGCTCCTACTCCTACTACTACTTCTACTTCAACTACTACTACTATTCTTGCTGCCGCCACTACTACTGCTACTCCTACTACTATTACTACTACTACTATTGTTACTGCTCCTACTATTCCTACTACTACTACTACTACTACTACTATTACTCACTGCTCCTACAACAACAATACCTCCTACTACATCTACAATAACTACTACTACTACTACTACTACTACTCAGACTACTACTACTACTACTACTACTACTCCTACTACTGTTACTGCTCCTCCTACTCCTACTACTACTACTAGCACGAGCACAGTACCTTGTCATTGATGAGCAGCTCTACGGGAGTACGCAGGCCTTGCAGTAGCACCACTTCGTTGGGCTGCTCGGGGACGGCGTAGGACAGGGGAGTTCCGATGCCCTTGTCTGCGGGCCGGAGCCACATGCACACGGTGAAGGCGTGGAGCTTTGGGATGTGCTGGTTCACTACTGCGTACATGTAGTTTGTCCTGGTGGGGAAGGACAGCCTGAAACCCTCTGGGAACGCCCGGCCTGGGATACCTGAGTGTAAGAGAAAGGGGAAAACCGAGAGCAAAGAAAACTGTATCAGATAATGCTTCAAACTGATTTATGCTCCACACTTTAACCATCACATGTGCAGCTTCAGAGAGACGCAGATCCGAACGTTTTGATCTCTCCTCTTCAAATCACACAAGTCAAAGATCACTTATTCATCACAGACCTGCCACTTGGTTTCATTAAGGAAAATACTAAATGAAACACTGCGCCAGTTATGTCGTATCATCTGTCAGAAAAGCAGACATTTTGTGAATCTTTTTTTACTCAAGTATAGACATAAGTGAACAGCTGCATTTCAAAACAGTCTAGCAAATCACAATATAACTTTTTAACTGATCTTATTCAATTACAAGACAATAATGACCTTTAAAACCTTTCATGACTCAGTTACATTTATATATTTTCAAAAATTTGGTAGATAAAAATATAAATTATTTTATATTTATATGTTTTTTTGTCTAGGACTTAGTGATATAGTGATAAAAACTGAATCATGACAGCTCTGAGTGAGTGACAGCTGGATTCAACTAATCACATAGAAGTATGTACTTTCAGAAGAAGCAGATGACTTTATTGATCATCATTTTAAGGTAACATAAGTAGTTTTTTTGTGGACAGACTAATGTGGACATTAGTCTCAACATGCTCCATTCTACGTTCTAGTGAAGGTGTATGGAGTTTAAAAACACAGTGGAGAACTTCATGTATTAATAGCTTAAATCTGCAGGATTTGTGTGTTAAACATGTGGATGAAACTAAACAAAACTCTGAGTAAGTTTTTGATTAAGAAACATTATTATATAGATCAGGAAATAGAATAACATGGACCCTCTAATATGAAGAAATAACCTGTAGCTGGAGCAGTAACCTATTGTGAGCGTGTTGTAGAGATTGCTATTTCCAGAAATACCCTTACTTCCAGCTACTATTATGGGATGTTTGTCACTATGCTAACTTAAATAATGGCCAATAAACAGCCAACCGCCTCTGTACAAACACAAATATAACACAACTACTCCTACCTTGCTTACTTACTCATCACTCCCGCTGACTCAGCCTATTTTGGGCAGTGCAGATTTCCAAGTTCTTTTCAATCTGTTATTTATTTTGAACTCAATGGTAGCAAGTTTAGCCGTATCCTCCACTTGTGCCAAGCACACACTTCCATTTTAGCTTCTCCTCGACTATAAATACCCAGGGTACATTTGGTTCTGTGCGTGTGCACGTACCTTCCTCCAGGCCTGAGATGCGGTGGTGGAGTTTAGCGATGCTCTGGTCGATCGCCTGCCTCTGCTTGTGCGTTTCTAGCCTGAGGGCCTTTCTCTCTTTGTCCAACAGGTCCAATTTCTTCTGCAGCTCGCCCTCCAGGTCCTCCGTCCCCCTGGACACGTCCCCCCCGGCAGTGTGAGGGGGGACAGGGGGCGCGGGCTCTGGGACAGCGCTCCTCGGTTCCTCTGGCTGGCCCGCACTTGTCACCACGTCCGTCAGGTTGTGAGGAAACGGGCCGATGTCGGACTGTGGAGACAAGATAGTGGAGGTAAATATGTGTACTCAATTACAAGTACAAGTGGACTACTGCCCAAATTGTACTTGAAGGTCATATTCTGAGAAATTGACTCAAAATGTTCTTTTCCACCTTGTGATGTCATGAAGCAGTGGTTTTCAAGTTAGCAGCTTCTCTTTACCTTTCGTTGATTTGAGATTCCAGGGCTGAAATGATCCACATGATTCAAGTGATGCTGTATGGAGTTTAAAAACACAGTGGAGCACTGTATTACCACGTGACATCACAAGGTGGAACAGAGTGTTTTCTTTTTGAGAGAAAAACTCAACCGAAATAGGCCTATGTAAATTTGTGCATTAAACATGTGTGAATGAAACACAATTCCGAGTTTTGATGAGACAACATTATAACATAGATCAGAAAATAGTCCTTTAATTAAAAAGTACTAAAAATACTACTACTAATACTAGCCTACTAGTACTAGTAACTACTTTTGAACAGATTTTAGCAGCATTTTAGATTGCAGTTACTTGGCTAGAATTTCCCCCAGTTACAACTACAAATACAGGTTTAAAAATCTACTGAAGTACAGTTACTTTACCCCGATACATAAAACACATAACCAAACCCTTGAAAAGTTCAATAAAATTTTTAAAATATGTAAATTTGTCATCCCAGAAAATAAAAAACAAGAACTTTGCACCCCAGGCCATGGCAGGCTGAAACACAGACTATCAGGTTTAGTAAACAAGTAGTGCCTTAAAAGACCTGCACGTGGTTTGAACCATGAGCGAGGAGCATGTTTGAACTTTTAGCCCTGCTAATAAAGTTTTTTTCATACCTGGCAGTTTCAATGCACTAGGGGTCTTCTTCAGAGTGATTACATGACTCTGAGACATGTTTGATCAGGTGATTTAAATAGATTTTGGCACTATCTTTTGGCAGGACGACAGCGCCATCTGCAGGCCAACTTCTTCAGAACAGTATCCCTGGTGTGTAAGAGTGAAAAGGGCCCCTCGTCTCAGTTTATAGTCCTGTGGGTACGTTTCTGTTCTGTGTCCTGTGGAGCTGTTACTGCTTTGCCTGGAATGTTCCGCAGTGTGCCAGAAAACATATCTGCCTGACATTAAGGTATTACATACAGGTATTTTTATTGCTAAAAATAGCTTTAAAACATGCATTCTCATTGTCAGTATAGTCGCCTATTCACAGATCTGACCTGTGACTTTGGTTTTGTAGTGTCACTTTCTTGTTTATTTGGAAATGGATACATTTAGTAGTGGAATATTTTTATAAAGATCTGAGCAAAGGCCTGTGCAGAAAAACGACATTGACATTTAAAGTTTATAAACAACATTACCTCGCCCCTGGTGATTCTAATCTCCATGCATCATTTTAATGGAAAAAGATTAGAGCAGCCTTATTAGTAGAGGTTTCTTTCTCATCAATAATATCTCTAATGGCCACTAGGCAAAGTGCATAATTTAAGAGTTTTTTATGTGTTTTGCTCACAAGCAGCTACAATCTTTTCATTAAAATCATGCACTACTCTGTTTCTCTGTGCGTAAGCTGGGACTATTCAGTTTTGACGTGTTGTAAATGGTTCCAAAACAATCTAAAATGTTTTAAAGGTGCTCTGTGTCATATTCTGATAGGGTCTGACATTTGCTTATCTCCATGAAGCTGCTTTGTCTTTAATGTTCCACAGTATGGTATTAAAGAACCCATATTACACAATTTTCTGATCTGTTATAATGTTGTTTCCTCATCACAAACAGACCTGGAGTTGTGTTTTGTTTCATTCTCACGTTTAACACAAAAACCCTGCATTCAGGCTGAGTTCTTCTCTCAAACAGAAAACACTGTTCCACCTTGTGATGTCATGTAGTAAGACAGGAAGTGCTCCACTGTTTTCTGTTTTTAAAGGGACATTTCGGAATTTTGGACATAGGACCTTATTTCCTAGTGAGCCAGAGTGTTGGAGACGTGTGGAGACACTTTTTAAAATATTCCATCCAGTCCTTGTATTTGCAGAGGTCACTGGTGCTAGGCTAGTGCACGTCAATGGCCATAGTTATCCTGCCACTAAAAACAGTCTTACCCATTCCTCTAAACACCCGAAGTAAAACAGTAATAACGCCAGACTGTCGATGTGAATGCCTGTGTTGATAGAATAATGTTAGAAGTGAAACCAACCTTGCATTTGAAGGATTTATGTCTGAGCAACAGCAGCGAGTTGTACTTCCTGATAGAAAGCTTGGCAGTGGTGCACTGATATATGAGAAAATAGTCCCTCAGCATGCGACAATTTATGCGATGCAAGGCTAGTTTTATTTCAAACATTATTCTATCAACACAGACATTTATATCAACAGTCTGGTGTAATAATAGATTTGCTTTGGGTGTTTTGTGGAGTGGGTAAGACTGTTTTTAGTGGCAGGATAAATATGGCCATTGACATGCACTAGCCTAGCACCAGCGAACTCTGCAAATACAAGAACTGGATGGAATATTTAAAAAGTGTCTCCACACGTCTCCAACACTCTGGCTCACTAGGAAATGAGGTCCTATGTCCAAAATTCTGAACTGTCCCTTTAAACACCATACAATTTCACTTGGATCATTTGGATAATTTCAGCCCTGGACTTGCCATTCTCTATTACAAAAGGAGCTGTTAACATGAAACCTACCACTCCATGACATCACAAGGTGGAGCATTTTGAGCGCTGGAAATATAGATAGAGTAATAATAGAGGATTACTCAAACATGTGTGAATGAAACACAACTCAACAACAAGAATGAATTCTGTGTATTATAGGATCTTTAAACTTTTTCTTTCTCCAAGAAGACCAGCAGGGAAAACCACAGAGCCCAGTTATAGGTCAGATCAGAATGTTTTTCAAGTTATTACAAAGACAAATGTAATTAAATGAATGAACAATGGGTTTAATTCCATGCTGTGGAACACTCTGAGGAAAAAAAATCTCCGTGGAGTAGTATTGTCATAGTACTAAAATTTCAAACTTGATTTCAACACTTAAGAACAATGATAATATTAGAAATAGATGAGATACAGATTAAAAGAGTAAAGGAACCATCACCACAACATCACCAACAGTCATTACAGAGACCCATCCAACTCATTAAGTATTGTTGAGGAAAACAACCTTTTCCTCTCATGTTCATTAGTTTCTGCTTAGATAAAAAAAAAAAAAATACACTTGAAACAGAAATAAAGTCCAGGTAATTTACTATTCCAATATTAGAAAGTCATACTCGTACAAGAAGTCTGTGCTGACATTCACATGCAGAAACTCAAAGTTTTACGACTTTACAATGACTTTTATATGCAAACTATGACAAGTGATGACATTATCCTTATCAGTAGTTCTTGTCCTATTTAGTTAGTTTGCTATTATGTAGATAAATTGGAATATCATGCATTTCTCTTGACATATACTATATCTATGAGTCTCAGAGCTGTGATGAGAGCTCTTATCTTCAAATGACCTCAGTACAAGAATGAACTATAGAAGTGATTATACGAAATAGCTAAGCCTAGTTATTTATTCTAACAGTATCTTCAGAGTAATGTATAAAACAAAGTGTAATGTATTACCTGTAAATATTCAAAGACTGTTTGAGATGAGAACAAGCTTTTGCAGTTTAAAGGGAACCTACATGTTTAAAAAACCCAGATTCAGAACCAAGGTTATGGAGCGAAGCATCGCTATGAAAGGAGTTAATTTACGGAATAGTCTTGAAAAAGATATAAAAGTATCAAGTCCAATGATGGCATTTAAAAAACACATAAAATCCAGTGCAATTTGTTTGTATGAAAAAGGAAATTAAGTTGTTGTAATAATAATAGTGAAGATTTCAGTTTGAAATTGTTTAATAATTGTGAACTGAAATGTACTGTAAATGATTTGAAATGTTTTAAAGTAACTATCGGTGTTGATGTGTTGTAGCCTGATTCATCAGCCAGTTTCACTTCGTGGAAACCGCCTGACCTCACAGTGCCAGGATTTGTTCACTCGACGGGAGGCAGGTACTTCTTTTATTTAACCAATCGCTGCTATTTGGTCGTGACATATGTAATGCGCCGCTAACGGGGCTAACTGGTATATTAAGCTCCCAAATCCTGTTGGAAGAAGGGCAAAAATGTCTTTCCCCTTGATAAATCTCACCAAACATTCTCTTTGTTCCGGCTTTAAATCCTCGATCTCGGGAATCGTTGCCAACACAGAATATATAGCTCTTCGCTGACTGGCTGGTGCCCGAACTCGCACTTCCAGAATTTTTGCATGCTGTCTAGTGTATTCTGATTCCTGATCTAGTCGCTGGAGAGAAATAAAATTGAGCGGAGACACTAGGTGGTGCCAGCCTGGCTAGATGTATTGTCTGGAAAAGAGAAAAAGGGGCAGATAATGTAAGATTGCTCTTCTTTCTGCTCCTTTTCATTAATTTCTTGTATGTTTGATGTTGTGACACTGTTAATGTCTTTCTTTATTCTTTATTTATACAAAACAACCTGATTTTCAACATTAAATAATAGTATTTTCATTTTTATTATCATCTAGTCTTATACATGTTCTGATACAGCTCAAGATCATTCTAAAGCTTTTCAGGAAAGATTCATTTCTGTCCTGTGAATGACTTTTTTAGTATATAGTTTCGATATTAGTTAGTAATATCGTTTAGTATCTGATTTTCAATACTTTTGTCAACCCTTCCATGCAGACTTCATGAAGTAACAAGAGGAATGGACCAATGACGGGTTCCGCAGTGGCCTTTCTAGCAATCATGAAAAAACCCTGCTACTACTTTACCCAACAACAGAACTGCAAACTCATATACCTGATAAAATGGCCTATAAGTTTTCTTCCTTTTAAAATTCAACAGCTAAAGTGCCAAAATGCCACAGTGTACAGTATAATCCCCCATTAATTAACCTTAACTCAGGCAGGATTTGCAAAGAGTTCCCTTAATTACATTGAGTTTGCGCCT